GAAGGGACAAACACAACATCGCAGATTTCCTGTATCAGACCCCCAGATACCAATAACTTCACATTACCGTCTACATTAGTCTATCAGACACTACTCCACCACTACCATAATACAACGTCGTATGCAACCTATCCTACCAACAACCATGTCTTCACCCGCAACTCAATACGTCTACGTCCCCAACCTCGTTGGCGGACAGATGCTCAGGATCCCCATCGAGGACGTCGAAGCCGAGGGCCAAATCTCCATTGCCCAACAGCCCATCGCGAGCCCAACCCTCTCTTCACGATACGTCCGCGACTCGTCACCATCGCCAAGCATGGAGAGCGTCGACGACACCGATGAGTAATAAGCTCATACACCAAGGCGACGCACGAAAGACGAAGAAATGACGGCAAGCCTTGCACTGGTCTGCAGTCCAGCAAGGCGGAACTAGCTAGCAGCGGACGTCGTTGCCAAGCAGCCTAGTCGCAGCCTCGAATCCCCCACGAGTCAAACTCAGGGAGGACTGACATCATCGCCCCCCATACCCTCACTGCAATCGTAACATTTCATCCGAAATGACGACAATCGGTGCCGTTGGTGCCGAGATGCCACCGGAGAAAACTTTCACATTGCGTGGAGTTGGCGTGTGGGGAACACGGCAAGCAAGGAGAGGATCTTGGCTGGAGTTGGAAGGAAGCTTGGGGAGGTGCCGATCGGAGATGGATAGGGCAGGCAGGCACGCGTTGGCTTGGCGTGGGGATTGGGATGGATCGATCGGTAGTCTTGGTTACTTAATGTCTATTAACTAAATCTTTTGTGGTACTTTTGGTCACTTGATCTTTTCTATGCTGCATGAGGATGTGAATTGTGAATTGCGGTGTGCGTGCGTGTGCTCTGCATGCATTGACTTTGGGACAGTAAAAGCAAGTAGAAGTGATGTTCTCTTTCTTGCATATCTCTTATTTCCGGTGTGCATGTGAGACGTGTCGTGTATTATGTGCATCACGATGACGAGGAAGAGTAGTAATGTTGCCGAGCCAGCAGATGACAATACGTTGACAGCATCCAAGGACACCTTCCCTGCACCATTGTAGATATAGACTTAACGTACTCTGGAGATGTTCACAAAACTTCCAATCAACGTAGGTGGAAAACATGAAGTAAACTCATCCAGAACGAGCTTCTAACTGAACTAAGACAACTTGGGAGAACATGTGCTTTCTTTTACACGGCCACCAGCGCTTCAATGCATAGTCATATGACAGATCATCTCCCTGTGTTCGTCTCCACCCCCCATGTTATCCTTCGTGAGTGACGTGTTCATCAGCCGTAAGCTCAATCCAAAACTCTAAGTCATCCGTTGCCGTGGACCTTGCTGGCATCGTCACTTTACCTGCCCACGTACCTTCCTTTTCTAACCAGAGCCTTTTCATCTTTTGATACACACGAAACACTTCATGTTGGCTCGCTTGTTGTATCTTTCCCATATCCGCGGGTGTGATGGCGGTATTATCGCAAGGTCGGCGAATGTACTGATTCATGTCCAAGTCTGCCCGAGGTGCGTCTCCCCATTCGCCCTTTTCCGGGTCTGGGAAAGCTAGGTCGCGTATGGATACCTTGAAGTAGATGGTTAGCCGTGTGAGATACCGATGGTACCGCGGCGCGGGAAAGAAGATACCGCCTTGCATGGCTAGTGGGTCGCGGAAGAACTTTGGTGAGATGGGAGACGTTATGTGAGGCAATTGAATGTTCGCTGTCGACGTTGACTGTGCTAAGACGCTCTTGCGAATGTAAAACTGAAACGAATTCTTTGCGTAGAAGAAGCTAGCAGCTTCATCGTGAAGTTGCGTACATGTTCTCAGTAATGCAATGCCCGTAATTTTCGTATGTATCATAGGAGATAGTACGATGCAGTCTTCGGGTTTGAGTAGATGGGCGTAAATGCAGTTGCGCAACTCCGGTGGAATGCTAAGCAAGCTGTGTTTCTGAAGATCGACAGGGAGACTCTTCGAGACAGTGCGCGATCGTCGTGCCGACTCCGTACTATGATCGTTATTCGAGCAACGGTGCGTCCTTTTACTGATCTGCCCGGTCAGCTGTAATTGTGTCGGCTGCGCGACTGCAGTTGGGCGTACAAGACCGAGTGCTGACGAAGCTTGGTTTCCCATAGTAGTAGATCTGTAGATCAAATTTAGTACGGATGCAGAATAAGAGCGTCGCGTGGATCGTTCTTCTCTCGCACTTAGAAAGGGCATATGGGTATCGTCTTCCCACGAACCCTTAGGTAGGCTTGCGCTGGATGCAGTCACCAGGCAAGTATTCCAAGGCAGTGCGTTGGATGCATTGTTGATAACTAAAGTGGATCTTGTGAGTTAACTGGAATCTTTTCAGTTCCCCAAGGATGTGAAGCATTCGTTTCTCGGCCTTGCCCGTCGCGTTGATGAATTCGCTGTGTGAGTTGTACTCTCGACGCTCGACAGACAACCTTGGAAGCCGCGAGGTCACATCCCATGGCTTTGCTTTGATTATCGAGGGCTTTTCTTGTGCAATTGGAGCTTCAGAGGATGTAAATGACATACAAGCCATCAGCATCGATATAACGAAGAGGGTGAAAATGTGAAGGGCTAGAGTGGCTGCTGGCTGGTTGAGCGACCCAGACAACCTTGGAACGCACGGACGGCTCACCAAGACACTCATCTCGTTATTATGGACGAACTTTAGTCCGTCAACTCCCTGATGTCACAACCTACAGCGCTGGCAGAGCACTTGCGATACAACGGTAGTATCATGAGCATTCTCGTTCCTCTTGGGCGCCGATACCTGGCCAATGGGCGCGCCGCGAGCACAGGACTGATTAGGCAACGACGAATGGCTATCGCGTAATTACTTCCCTAGATCAACTGTCGTCTACGCGCGTGTCATCGCACCCCAAGACGATATCTTGCTGTCATTTGTGTCATCGTCAAAGACGGAAGCCTCCCCTTGGTACGCAAACAGAACGAAGCTGTTACACACCTCGGGATGTGGGCCACGTAGCGTTCACACCACCCGACGTGGAGCCCAGGTCGCTCGGGACAATGCGACCCATGCGGATAGTAACTGACCATGTAGTCGCAGCTCGGGTTAATTCTTCTAGAAGACCTAAGGTACTATTATGCACCCACAAGACGGCGCCAAGTCTGGGGTCAAGTCTGGGGTCAAGTCCGGGGTGGAACCTGGGGTAAACACCTCGTCAGTAATACAGCCATCAACGACGCTATGTCTTGAAGCGGCTTGAGGATAGCTATGCCTGATCATATCAACATCTTGGCTCTTAACCCTAGGTAGCTAGGTCGACCGGCTCCACATCTTACGCTCGACTTTCAACGTCGCCCTGACCCGAGGTCGTGGTGCATATTGTGCTGGACAGAGAGGCCAACAATGGGTGTACTGATGAGCTATAAAGACCAGTAACAACATGAACAACAGTGTCCAACCTCAGCCAGGAACGCAGACACCGCAACATCAACCATGATCGCCTTCAACACCATCGTCGCATTCCTCCTCTCCATCTCATCTGTTACCACTGCCAGTCCAACAGAGCGCCAGGCACCCACCTACCTCAACTGGAAGACCTTTAAAGCCAACGGCATCAACCTTGGTGGATGGCTTGCCCAAGAAGCCGTTATTGACCCAGCCTGGTGGTCGCAGAACTGCGGTACCACGACTGATGAGTGGACCTGCTGTGCCAAACTGGGATCGCAATGTGGCCCTGTACTAGAGCGTCGCTATGCTACGTTCATAACACCCGCCGATATCGACAAGCTAGCCACTGCTGGTGTGAACGTCTTGAGGATCCCCACAACCTACGCTGCATGGGTCAAGGTTCCTGGCAGTAACTTCTACAGCGGCGGCCAAACTCGGTTCTTCAAGAATATCGCATCTTACGCAATCGCAAAGTACGGCATGCACATCATCCTCGATATTCACTCCCTTCCTGGTGGAGTGAACGGTATGGGCTTTGGTGAAGGCGAAGGCCGCTTCGGTTGGTTCAATAACGCCACGAACCTCGACTATTCCCTACGCGCTGTCGATGCTGCACTGGCCTTTATTCAATCCTCTGGAACTCCGCAATCATACACCCTGGAGCCGATCAACGAACCGGTGGACAATCGCGATATCACAACCTTCGGCACACCAGCCGCGTTGACGGACAACGGTGTCGCATGGGTACAGAAGTACATTGACGCGGCTATTGCGAAGACAGTAGCCGTGAATAAGAACATACCTGTCATGTTCCAAGGCAGCTTCAGAGGTGAAGCGTTCTGGTCTCCCAAGTTCCCAGCATCCACCAATCTCGTCTTCGACGTACACAACTATTACTTCGCTGGCCGCCCAACAGACTCCGATACCGTGAGCGCAGACATCTGCTCCGATGCCAAGGCATCGGCAGGAGATGGCAAGTTTCCTGTGTTCATCGGTGAATGGTCGATTGAGACGGTGGCGGATAACAAATTTGCAAATCGTCAGAAGAACCTGAACACCGGGCTGTACGCCTTTGCAAAGTACACTAGGGGTAGTGCTTACTGGACCGCGAAGTTTTCCGGAAATGTGCCGGTAGCTGGCGAGGGAGTACAAGGAGATTATTGGAATTACTCGGCTTTTATCGATATGGGTATCGTTAAGCCTGGCGAAGGCGCAAAGTATTGCTCCTAGAGGGTTATATATGTAGATCAGCCCAAACATGACCTCATGTAGAAAGGATGCCAAACACTGAATCGTATGGACTTAGTTATGTTCGACAGCCGGCCATAGGAATAGATACATTCTCTCCTCATTCTTGCCTCCGATACTTTCCATAACTATCAGCAACCTAAATATATCAACATTGATGGCGTAGAGTCCAACAGAGCCGCAATGTGACAGAAGACCTTCCATCTTGAGCTCAGCTTTCCATCAAGCCAGGAGCCTACTTTAACGTCAGATCACCTAACGTGCATGATTTCAACTTAATGTAGGCTGAAACCCTGTTTAACTCAATACCCTCCCCCTATCCAACCATTAGCATACCTGTTCATCAATAACACACGGATCGAACACGATGCACTTACAAATCATCACATCAACCAACCTAGGTTTAATCTCCTCGACATCCTGATCAAGCAACACCTCCCAAAGCTCCATCACACTTTCCGCCGTCACCATGAACCAGCCAAAATACGGCCGTGGGCCCTGCCCTCTTCTCCTCGGATGATGATCCGCAGCAACGTAGTCCACCTCGACACACTTGAGCCATCGTCGCTTGGTACCAGAGGATTTGCTGTAGCCGTGATATTGATATTGCCATTTCTGCACACTCTGCGTGGTTGCAACGTCGCTTGTGTTGTTGTCAACGGGTACGTTCGTTGTCTCATTCTCTTTCGGCAGAAAGTAGGGATCCAGCAAAACTTCAGCGTCAGCGACAAGGAAGAGACGCTCGCTTTTGTAGAAGTTCGGTGAGGGCACAGAATCTTCTGGTGGATTGACATACGTCTGGCGAAGCTGGTCGATAGTAAGACTATCGTACAGGGAAGCATCGGAGCGGAAGTCTAGACGTAAGAGGGAACGTAAGAGTTGGAATGTTGTCGGTGGCTCATCGTTTTGCGACTCAGAGAGGGATTTTTCGACGCCTTGCTGAATGGCTTTGGTTAAACTTTCCCATTGCGATTCAGATTCTGGCGTGTAGCATGTGCGGTAGATGGTGTAGCCCCATTCGTGATAGGAATACGGCTCCTCGGCTTGGCCTTCCGTTGTTATGATCAGGTCTCGTAGTATGTCTTTGGGTTGCTGGATCATTACGTTTGGACACAAGATAGTGTTGGTACGGAGGGTGCGGGGTTACATATGTGGTGCTTATGTTGGAAAAACAGTTAACTGGGAAATTGGCGGCATGCGCAAATTTATACTTGCCTGGGTATATTCGAAGGATCATTTAGGTTCAAGGCAACAACGGCACTAACTTCTTACGAGCTTGTTAGATGAGACTGTTTTGTTGACTGGACTTTGCTCTTGGAATAAGTCTTGTACATTGAATATCCACATATACATGAGACAGAACAAATGAAGAAGCCTTCGTAGATGCGAAGGCTTGTAAAGTATCGTCTCAGGTGTTGCAATCCTCCGTGGTCTCGATCAAGACCTCATGAGTCAGTAACCACCATCGCGACTACATTCTCCTACCGCCCGCGAGCATTAACCTGCCCATGTATTCATTATGCCTACATTATGCACGTAAGTAGAGGCGGTCATACATACCGTGGCAAGTACCCACCTGCGAAATCACCCTTTTTCCTCAAAGCCTCCCTCACCTCATTCTCTTTACGTATCCGCTCTTCCTTCTCCCTATTCTCCTTGCGTATCCGCTCCTCCTTCTCATCTTTCTTCTTCACCTTCCTCGCCTTCTTCTCAGCCTTCTTTTCTTCCTTGGTCACCTTTGCTTCCTCCTCCTTCATCATCGTCTGGAACCCATCATACCAACTAGCATTCCCACTATCTGATCTATGTATGCTGTCTTTGCCCAGCACACGATCAGTCTTGTCCTGCTGCCTTTTACGGCCGCGGTCCCACACTTGCCACATGTAGGGGTCGCTTTCCAGTCCTGGTGGTGGTGTAAGCTGGCGTGGCTGTAGATTCTTTCGGGGTCGGTTCGTGCGCTGGAAGTAGGCTTCTGGGGTTATCTCACGGCCAGGGAAAATGAGACTGGAGGTGCTAGAAAAGGCGGGTGATATGTTACGTAGTACAGGTTGAAGGAAAGTGGAGGAATACTCTTGCAGGTGAATGTTCGAAACCGATTGCGTGGGGGTGGTGCGTTGATAAGGGCTAAAGGAGCTCTCTGATCGAACGGTGGTTTGTTGCTCATCTGGTGCGGTTGCATCTGCACTGGCCCCTTCATTCGCGCTTCGCTTTCCTTTCACCCAAGACGGGGGCCTGACAAACCCAAGTGGCAGATACTTCCCCACCGAGGGTTCTGAGTCACGGCGGGTAACTTTCTTCTTGAGCTTCCGAGCCTCTTTCCAGTCTCGTGATGGAAACACAGCGCTTGGTGCAACAGATTGAGATTGAGGGTTCTTTTGCGGTCGGGCTTGAAAAATGGGCGGACACCAGTATCCGGACATACCCATGAGACCGACTGGGGCTTCTGAAGAAGGAGAGGTTGTAGAAGGCATAGAGGATGATGAGGCTGCCTTACCTGCAGGTTGATGCTCAGCGCGTTGGGTAGAGTGACGTGGTACAAATGTATACCGGTCGGGTTCGTGTTCTTCAATAAAACGAGATGCGCTGTAAGTATGTATGCTCGTACTGGGGCTGCCAGCAGGCCCTTCGTAAACGTCGATGACTGAGTCCTCATAATCTTCTAAACTCAGAGCGTGCGACAGGTAGGACTGTTCATCGGTGGTTTTATCTACCTGTCTGGGTTCATCAGTTGCATATTTTGGTCTCTTTCTGATATTCACATATCAGAGACTCGCTTACGTTAGGACTCTCCGGCTCCAACCCAGCCTCCTCATTAGCCCAACGCACCCAAGCTCTCTGCTCTGTCATCCTCGACATCATGCTTGCTGCATCGTTAACTTCCTCCTTCTCCTTGGTGTCGTATTGTCTTTCCTCCTCCTTCTTAGTCGCCTCCCTTTGCCACATTTCCTCAAGAGTCAACCTCGGACTGTCCCCCACCACGTCGCCATATATCATCTGCGTTCTGCGCCCCATCTTCTTTATTGCTTTCTCGGTCTCCCTTGCGGCATCGATATAAATTTCTTCGTCCTCGAAATGCACGGAGATTTGCCAGCCCCATTTCTGAAGGTCTTGGAGTATGCTTATCTCGGCGGGGAGGGGGTCCGCGAGCGTGTAGGTCAACAGCGGGTTGTAGGCGTCGATGGACTGCGCGGGTGGTTGAACTAGATACGGCATGTTTTCTTGCAAGCGTTGCGTACTGATGGGAAACAAGAGGAGGACAGGAAGCTTCTTATGCCTCCGGCCGCATTCATGGTCGAGTAAAATGGCTACTATCGTCAACATGTTCGCATACTTCACGCTCAACATTCTCACACTCCGGATATGTCATTACCAGAAGGACAGTCCTTGAATGTTCAACAGGGCGAAGACATGTTGTCATTGAATATGTCTATTGGGTATCATATGTTGTTATCGTCGGCGCAACACTATTCCATGACGTCGTTATCGTTGGCCGTTTCCTCGTTCTTCAGTCCTCTTATGCGATAGAGCCAGTTTCCAGACGCTCTGAAGCGAGGTTTTGAGGTGCGCGATATCCTCTAACGCGCGGTTCGCAGTCTCAGGACATGATGCGCCGATTACGGCGAAGGCGTGAAGGTTGCAGAGTCACAGATTCGCTTTCCACATAATTCCTATCACGAATGTGAGCATCCATCAAACGCGTATATGCCCGTTGTATGAGTCGCAATGGAGCCTTTGTATTTGGTGTGGGGTGAGGAGTTGATGCTCAGGGAGGGCTCAAAACCATATCTTGATCAGCTCCTCTGACACGGCAGACGGAGTGAGAACGCCAGACTCGGTGATGATGCCGGAGATCAGGTCGGGTGGCTAGTTCAGGTTAGCGGATGGGATCATAATTGATGTAAGCAGAGCGTACCGTAAAGTCGACAGCGTCATGAGCGTCGAGCGGAACGACGGTCGATTTTTGCTTCGCAGTCATGTCTGCGATGGCTTCGTCAAAGACATTCCGTTGCTCTTCGTCGCTCTTGGGCTTGTGTTCCGCCTTGTGTTCTTCTGCGACCTTGAAGTCGAGTACCTTCTGCTCAATGGGCAGATCGAACTGGCTGAGTGGATATAGCCTAACGAACTTGTGGCTCTCGGCGACCACGTAGAAGGGCTTTCCTTTGCTCTTAGCCAGTACGCCCAACTGGTACGTGCCCATGCGCGATATGATGCCACCGTTCTCGACGACGCCTTCAGCTCCGACAATGACCATGTCGACTTTACCCAGTGAGTAGGCGACGGCCGAATCTGGAATTGTGGCGACTGGTACATTGTGCTCTCGGAGGTCGGCGACAGTCTGGAGACCCTCTTTCGCATCTGACGAGCTTGACGAGGGCAAGACGTATATGACCTTGAACCGGAGAGTGCTCGACTCGGCGGCCGTTCGCAGTAGCGCACCCACTACTCGCGATCCTCCATTTGTGAGCACCGTGCCGCCGTCGCGGATGAAGTGCTTGCCGAAACTCGCGATCTTCTCCCTGCTCTGTTTCGCACGGTCCACAAACAGCTTGCCGTTGGAGAGGAGGTGGTTGCGTATCGCGCGGAAGTCGTCGTCGGGGCCGAGGTTCAGGCTCGCCGGGCGGTTGAGCGTCGTGATGAGGTAGCGCTGGAAGAGATCTGTGCCAGCGGAGAGGGAGATTGGATTCGCGATAGAGGCCTTGAGGGCGGCGGTATGGCGTTCGAGCAGGTCGAGCGTCTCTGCGACGGTCGAGACGGAGCTCTGCGCGATGGCTTCTACGAGCGCCTCGATGGCCGCGACGGGCATGGTGAGTTCCGGGTCATCTTTGAGGATACGGCGGTATGTCGCTACAATGTCGAACGTCGACTGTGTCTTGACTCCGGATTCGGTGCTCATCTTGGCGGTTGGTTGCAGCGTGTCGTTCCCGTCAACTTTTTGGCCTGCAACATTTTGGAGGGGTGCTTCGCGATTGAGTCATTCGCCAAGATTGGGGGGCTAGCTCGTCATCCCTCCCCAGGCGTTCACCCTTCGACGCGCCAAACCACTCTTGCCATGACTTTACACTGCTGCATGAGTCTCACTGTATTCATCTCACACCCTGCTGCTCTACAATCTAGGAACTGCCAGACGACTGCGTTTACCCACTTCAACACCATGGCAAGGATCCATCCACGATCGCCTCCACTGCTTTCATATGACGCGGTTTGTGTAATGCTCCGTTTGCTACGGAATTTGCAATCGTCAGATGCCACTCACCCGTAACGATGACCATGGCCCGCTATGTTACGATACGTTGGCCAAACTCACCCTCCGCTGTGACTGTACATCACTTGAAGAGCCACACTCACTCAAAGCCAACACGTAGTTTCCGATCTTCGGTGTTTTCACTGATAGTAATCTTACTTTATCAAACAATCAATTACATTCGTCTACGGTTACCTTTTAGCAATCCAAAGGCCGCAAGGTATCTCACTGGCAAAGCTACACCTACTAACTACAACAACCAATACTGCTACAACCTAAACTTACGATGCCGTACATCATCTATGTGCCCGGAGTCCTGCAACCATACATCACCAACGATCCGAGGATCTACATGGACTGTTCCAAGATCTTCGAGTGGGAATGCGAATCACGACCCTTCTGCGATGCATTCTGCAAGGCGTTCCGGCAAGACGAGGATGCGCAGTTCCTGTCCGACAGGCGTCGCGGCCAACTTGAAGCCTACTGGATCGAGGAGCTCGAGCGGCGGATCAAGCTGAACACAGGAATTGACCCACTGAAGAAGGGCAAACGACTGTCAACTGAAGCCGCAGTCGAACATTTGGCGGAGCATGACATCGATAAGAGTGTGTTGTCCAAGATCAAAGACCGGGAGGAAGGTGCACTCTGATAGCTGGTGGGTCTACATGGCAGTCACAGCCCTCATCACCAAACGTCATCTATGGTACGTTCTCACCTTCTCGTTTTTGGGCCCTGCTAAATTGAGTAGTAAAGAATGCACATCAAGCCTTTTGCGCTTGTAACCCAACACGCTTGACGACCACATCATACTGCTTTTACATTCTTTAGTCTCAACGGAGGCGGTGTTCATTTACAGTTCTCTTCTTATCACAAAACACAACAGCGTACTGTTGCGCCAATCCGAAAATGCCCTCACTTTGCGACCCATCGGAGTATCTGCCCAGTCAGCAGATACCACCAAGGCCGTCTATCAACTTCATCCCCTACGACCCTGTTTCCATTGATATACCTATGGAGGCCTTCTACCGCGAATACCGAGTAGATTCACCGGGAAGGATAGTGAAGTATCGCTATGCTACTACGCCATCCGCCGTGGCGTGCAGAATCACAGTCGTTTCGCTTTCTACTATCATAAACTGGCGGGCGGATATTCCCGAACTGGCACCCCCGGGTGCTCTCTTCAACGAAACAGATGGTCTCTACTACGAAGACGAGGTCGTTCCGTCACAAGGCCAAACGCCACCCGACGACAAGCCAACGTTCGAGTCATGTGTTCGACGACTGAAGTTACATTTTTCCACTGCCGTACAGCATCCACCGATGTCTCATGACGAAACTCAGTCCGCCCCCGGCTTCGTAGCAGGCCATGTCCAACGCACTGCGGAGGGTCCCCTGTCCGACGAGCAACTCCATCCGACTCCTTCAGGCAAGGAAGAAGGCTACAAAGCCGCCGAAAAAGGTCTCTCAAGATATGCGCCGCAGTCGGCAGGAAGATCTCTCGACGAGGAAGTTATTGGACACAACTGGGTTAAGCCTGGGCCAGGAAACAAGCGCGCGCATGGATCAACGACTACACCACCCGGTTTACGACGTGGTAGGAGTGCAGTCGGTGAAGGATCTCGCGAACAACTGACCCACGAAGCAACGAGCGTTGCATACAAATGATCTTGGGCGTGTGAGTTCATTGGAAGAAAGAGGTTGCATAGGAGATGAAGCTGGGCGAGCAAGATGTCGACGGAGTGTGTTGTGATCAACACCTGGGCATGTCTTGCACATACGAATTCAAACGTCTACACACTGCATTTTCATGTCTGATGATTACCCAGCCCTTTTTGATGTAAAATGACGATGTGGTCGATGCGGCAATTGTTCACTATGTGCAGTAACCGTCCAATTCGTCTCTCAAACAGACGCTCAGCTAGATAGAACAGCAATCACTTAGCGTGGCTGCAGACAGACCAACAGACAGAATAGGCCTGTATAAGTGTTAGCGAATCATCGCGATACCTGATGCGGCTGGGTCTGGCGATGACGCACCTTGCACGGCACTCGCGGGTCTGCCCGTGGATCCACAGCGCTCAACGTCATATGCATGCGCCAATGGAGCAGGAGTTTTCAGAAGACCCTGAGCCTGTCCGCAGCGAGCACGCGACCTCTTACCTAAACGAGCGTCACCAAAACAGGACGCGAAGCCTTGTACCCTATAATCTTTTCTGCTATAACCAAATACGCAATCGTCTAGGGAAGAACCGTCTTGTCTACACATATCCCACCAACAACAATATTGACCGCAATTCCGGTGTCGCTCCCATTTCCAGTCAACCCATCATCAACAACATGGCCATACTATCAGACATCGCCTCGAAAGTAAAAAACACGCGACTCGTTCCGCCAACCGAAGACGAACTATCCGCAACCAAAGAAAACAATCAAGATTCATCTCCCTCTCAAACCCAAAAAAGACAACGACCAATCCTCGAGATAACATCCTACGACCGCTTCACACCACCATCCCCTATGCCAGACTTAGAATACGACTGCCGCGTGACACAGAACCCATCCCGCCAAATACGGAAAACATGCACGGGGCTCGACTCGACGCTGCAAGATGAGCTGATGCAACGCGAATCTTTTAGTGATACAGTGGCTCGTGCGGAGGAGGATATCAAACGGCTCATGGAAATCAAGGATGTAAGAGCTAGTAGGGAAGGAGAAGTGGCGATAGTACGAGTGGGGTGTCTGTGTGGAAGTGGACATCACAGAAGCGTGGCTTTTGCGGAGCAACTGGGGAAGGTGAAGTGGAGCGAGGATGATAGCTGGGAGATTAAAATTGTGCATAGGGATTTGACGAAGGGAGTGGAGGAGATGAAGAGGGTGAGGGGTGAAGAGAGCGGGAAGGAGGGGAGAGATGGGAGGGTGGATGGGGAGAAAGCTGGAGGTTGAGGTGTTTAGATGGGGATGGATGTAAGGAGTATTGTATTATGACATTATCACGGCATTGACTATCGCCCATCATTCTCTAGCAAAGCTCAGCCCCGAGATAACCAAGAATGCCTCGGAAGCACCACCGCAGTCATCCCATCAGTCTCTCCACCCGAAGTCGCCTTCGCATCAGCACCGTCAGCACCACCGCCTCTTAGCCCTCCCTCCAGACGCTCCTCGTCCTCGTCTTCATCATCTTCTCCTATAACCTCATGAACATCCGAGAAAGGATCATGAAGCCCCGACATCTCCTTCATCTGCTCTTCAGCCCACTTCCTCATCCTCTTCTCTTCTCTAGGACCGTGTTCCACCCTCAGCCTGAGCTCGTCACTCCCAACCCACGTATCCTTACCCCAAACCTGCCAATGCGCTTTCTTCACCCCCCTTACCACACTCCCCAGCCTACTTTTCCCAGCCGCCGCTGCAGCCTCAGCCTTCTTCTTCTCATCCTCCCCGTTAATCCTCAGCCCATGTTCTCTCTGCCAAATGACCCAAATATCATCGTCCCACGTGTTCTTCCTAGCAAGCTTTTCGTATTTAGCAAACCATTTCTCCATCTTGGGGAGCGAGCGCTCGGTGTTGTAGAGGCGCCAGCCCCATGCCGCACAGTCTTTTGCGATGGCGGCGTTGCGCGTTGTGAGGGTTTCTGTGGAGGCGGGGGTGAGGTGGATGTATTGGGCTGTTGTGGTGGGGTGGCGGTTGTAGTGGAGGACGTAGGAGGTGGAGCGGTAGTAGGGCGGGATTTTGACTATGAGGACCATGGTTGCTGTTGTGAGGGGGGTTTTGATGTTGGGTGTTTTGCTTTGGTAGTCGAGTTTGGATAGAGGGGAGTTAGATGGGAATTGAGGTTTAAAGTGCTGCGGTGGACAACGAGAGGTAGAGGGAAATGTTACCCTCCACCGATTGAATGCCCAAATCGTGAGAGCTCTCTCTCGTTATACACTCGGAGCATTCACGCACATGCGTGTGTCCATTTGCGTCTTTCCATATCAGCAGGCACGGATCAACTACATGAGTGAAAGTACACTGTGCGTTGAAGTCACCAACCCCGAACGTGAACGCACAGAGACTGCATAGAATCTCTAACACGTACTCGCATTTCCCCACCCACTTACGCAAGTCACACTCTTCGGCAACCTCGTACATCCACTCAAAATGAATGACCGCCATTCACACAAGATACAATACCTCATCCACCCACCCCGCAGAACCGTCGTCTTCACCACAGACAACCCTTTGATAGCAGACGTCCTAAGAAACCGTCACAATTGGCTTGGCCGCGTCACAGAAGGTAGCACGCTTCCAGCGTGTATCAGCACTTCATGTATACGGGAGCTTGATGATGGTAACGTTCTGATCGATCATGAGGTTGCAAATGGTGATCTCCTTGCAGCAGATATACGGTCTCTGCTCATACGGAAAGGGTTCGTGGATCCGGATTTACGCTTTGTTGGGCGTATGATACGGTCTGTACATAAGAGGCAGGTTGTGCTTCCGAAATGCACGGATATAGCGGCTGGTGATGAAGAGAAGGTTGATATCTGGAGCGACGATGGGTTGGATGAGGCCAAGGAGGAAATGGATGTTCGGGAAAAAGATATTGTGGACATGGATAGAGGGGAGAAAGATGGTTTGGACGAGCATATCACTGCAAAATCTTGATGTAGAGCGGCCCAGGGGGCAGCCAGAGGCGGTCAGGTGACTCTAAATAGTGCCCTTGATTTTGGTGTAACGGAATGTATTGTATATTTTAGGCCTTCAAATGAAACGAGTGCCGGGAGGAGACATGGATCTGGGTATCGCTGAAATAAAGGAACAGAAGATGATGTAGTTGGCAGACCTATATAGACCAGCCTGCTTTCTTCTTAGCGGCCTTGGTGGTCATGGTGGGTTCCGAGGGTGGCGGTGGCTTGATATCCTTGAGATCTGGTAACGGGTCGTTATCCCTTATCTCCAGTATAGTCATCTGTGCGGCTAGAGTCGGCTGCCCATCTGCAATCGTATCGCTAGGAGCAGACACATCGTCACCTACCGGGCCACCTTCAAGGGAAACACCGCCGTCTTCCTCATCCTCAACTTCTTCATCGTCGCCTGCCTCGTCACCATCATCGTCGTCGTCCACCTCTTGTCCGTCTGCTCCAGTCGCGACATCTCCAGCGTCGCCATCGATACCATGCTCTTTCATGTACAATTCTAGTTCCTTGGCCATCTTTTTGCTGAAGCCGGAAGCTTGGACTTCAACATCTAACCGCTTGACGAGCTTCTTCGTGGCGTCCTTGAAAAAAGGACCCGACTCGTCGCTCGTGAAGCCAAAACGGCGATCGAAGAAGCGCTTTATGCAAGCCACATCGCGGTCAAAGTAGTATTCGGCATTGGCATGGTCAATGGAGACCATTTGGGGGAAATCGATGAGGGTTGGCACCAGTGACAAACTGCCGTCTTTTTCTGTTCTCTCTTCAACTAGGATGTTGAACTCGTTGAAGTCACCATGGATGAGACCGTGCTGCGCAAGGCGAACGATAATGGCGAGCAGCTCACCATAAAGCTCCTGTGGGTTACCGACCTTTGAGATTTGACGCATAGGGAAGGCATCGATGAGGCTCATGACGACGGTATGTCTGTTCTGACCAATCGGCTCAGGTACAGGGAATCCCTCTGCTCGCAGGGCCTTCATGAATTCGAACTCTTTCAGAGCAGCGAGACGCGACATGTACATCCATGAACCACCCTGGCGATTCCGCAGGTAGTCGCGGTTCGCCTTGACGGTACGGAAAGAAATGCGACCCAGACGGTGGATTTTGAGCACCAGTTGCCTACCCGTTTCATCTGCGCAGACTATGATATCCGACTCTTTGCCTATGCCGATCTGGTTGCCCACCGAGTAGACGGTCGAGGCCTTTTGGTGTGTGTGGAGGGCGAGGTAGTCGAGACCGCCATACGTGAGTCGGTAGCCGTCGTACTTTGCGTTGCGGACTTTGGCGATGAGGCCGATCTTGGCGAGGTTGGAGATGCAACGGTGGACGCCGTCGCCGGAGCGGATGGCGGCGATCTGAGCAATCAGGGGGGTTGGCACGATTTCATGGTTGCGGCTGCCCATCTCTGTCTATCATCTTCATCAGCGTTAGTCCCCCACTACGTTCGGAAAGACTGCGGGCGGGCGCATACCGCAGTGAGGACACGCCAATCATCGGCGGAGAGGTACCGAATATTCTTGACGTTCAGCTTCATGGTAGTTGCCTGGGTGGCCTATCGGCGTCGTGTGGTGGTGATTTTCGGGGTTGTATGCGGCAACAATAATTTTTGGCGGGAGGTTCTGAGCGGCGGGCGGCGCTCATCATCGGCGGACGGGCTTGGCCCTAGCGCGGCGGAAGTGGTACGCGAAGCAAGAGCTGCCTCATCGACATCAACCTATTACCACTCCCCACTCGACTTGCCTCTCGCTCTTCCGACCCATTTGAGCGCCGCATCAACATATCCCAACACCCCACATCTCTTTTCACAGTCGCCATCGACGCCGCTTCGTCCCGACACATAGACACACTTCGCCGCTTGCCCTAGCTACACATCATCAACATGGCGAAGGACGACGAGAAGAAGCCCACGGCCGCCGACAAGGGCAAGGGCAAGGCGCCCGTGAGCAATGACGCGGATAAGAGCAAGGATGCAAAGCCAGATCTTGAGGACAAGAAGGGCGGTGTTGCGACAACTGGCGGTATGTCTGGTCCCCGGCACAGCGCCGATGGCTATCGTCATGGACTTGCACTGATGACAAACCACAGAGGAGCTCAGCGAGGAAGACCAACAGCTCAAGAGCGACCTTGACATGCTGGCTGAGCGGATACTGGTAAGCTGCTGCGACGATGGCTGGTCCCCGCAACATGCGCTGACCTCATGTGTTTACTAGGGTTCCGACACCAGCCTCTACAAGCCCGCCCTCGAACAGATCAAGGAATTCATCAAGACATCGACGAGCTCCATGACGGCCGTGCCCAAGCCGCTCAAGTTCCTCCGACCACACTACGAGAACCTCGAGAAGGCCTACGCATCATGGCCAGCAGGCGAGAACAAGGTGCGCAGACACGCCCACACTCTATATATGGCACCATGCTAACAAACGCAGCGCTCGCTCGCCGACATGATGTCTGTTCTGGGAATGACGTATTCGGATGAGGACCGCCTAGACTGCCTCAAATACCGCCTCGAGGCCCCCTCCACAGATCTCGGCTCATGGGGCCATGAGTACATGCGCCACCTTGCGCTTGAGATCGGCACAGAATACCAGAACCGCCTGAACGACGAGAAATCCACCGACGACGTCACCGACCTCGCCTCGAACCTCGTCCCCTTCTTCCTCAAGCACAACGCAGAGGCTGATGCCGTTGATATCCTGTCTGAGCTGGAGATGATTGATCAGATTGAGCAGTACATCGACGAGAACACATACTCGAGGGTGGCTCTATACATGGTCAGGTAGGATACGCCCGCATTTTGCCTGCAGCACCGACACTAACACCAGCAGCAACGTGCCCCTACTCACCTACCCAGACAACGACAAGTTCCTCCGTACCACGTACCGAATCTACGCCAAATACAAGCAGTACACACAGGCAATCGTCATCGCGATACGATTACACGAGACCGATCTCATCATTGAAGCTTTCAACGCCACCAAGGACAAGTCGATCCGGAGACAAATGGCCTACTTATGTGGCCGACAACGGATATGGCTCGACGTCTCCGAGGACGACGATGCCGAGCTCCAGGAGTGCATCAACAACACGCGACTGCCCGACCACTTCAAGGCGCTGGGCAAGGAGCTTAACATTCTCGACCCCAAGACCCCTGACGACATCTACAAGACACATCTGGAGAGCAGCAGGACGGCTGGCCTCACCAATACCGATTCCGCCAGACACAACCTTGCTTCAGCCTTCGTCAACGCCTTTGTCAATGCCGGTTACGCCAATGATAAGCTCATGCTTAACGAGAACACAAAGCAGAGCTGGGTGTGGAAGACCAAAGAGGAGGGCATGCTGTCAACAACCGCGTCTCTGGGTATGCTCATGCTCTGGGACGTTGAAGAGGGTCTCGATAAGGTCGACCCCTTCACACACGTCGAAGATGACATGGTCAAGGCCGGCGCTATGCTTGCTACCGGTATCTTCAACTCAGGCGTGCGCATGGACTCAGACCCTGCCATGGCTCTCTTGGGTGATGAGGACAACATCAATTCCAAGAACAAGAACATCCGTTTGGCTTCTATCATGGGTCTCGGTCTTGCTTACGCGGGGTCTAATAAGGAAGACCTTTTGGACGTTTTGCTGCCGATTGTCAGCGACACCAGCCTCGACATGCAGCTCTCTGCCATGGCGGCGCTGTCGCTTGGTATGATCTTTGTTGGTTCGGCCAACGGAGATGTCACTGATGCCCTGATGAACACACTCTTGGACGAGGACCGGACGAAGCAGCTCAAGGACAAGTGGACCCGCTTCATGGCTCTTGGTCTTGCGCTACTCTTCTTCGGTCAGCAAGAAGAAGTCGATGTCATTCTGGAGACCTTGAAGGCGCTTGATCACCCCATGGCCAAGTCTGCCTCTGTGCTCACCGAGGTATGCGCATGGGCAGGTACCGGTGCCGTCCTGAAGATCCAACAGTTGCTCCACATCTGCAATGAGCACATCGAGGATGAGAATGAAGAGAAGAAGGGCGATGAGCTACTCCAGTCTTACGCTGTTATCGGTCTATCATTAGTCGCCATGGG